CTCCTGGGCTCAGGCAGTCCTCTCACCTCAGCCTACCAAAGTGCTGAAATTATAGGCGTGAGCCACTGCACCCAGCTGCAAGCAAGCTGAAGACCTACAAGGGCTTTTCCCTCCCCATGACACACCAAAAATCTCCTTGCCCTCTGTGCTGCCACATTAGACAAGAGATGCAAGTAAAACCCCATGCTTGGCTACACATTTGAGGAAAAAAAACAAGATGGCCAGGACAGTGAGGGAAGCCCTGACAGCTGACCTATTCCCAGTACATGACATATAAGGGAAGGTGGATGGGAGTTCATAATTCTGCCCATGTTAAATAGGGGCCAGTTACTTCCCAGGAGTCTGGCCAATCCATGAACAAGTCCTTTTGGAAAAATGAGGACCAGGGAAAAAAGGGAGAGATGGAGACCCCTCTCCTCAAAACACCTCCTCAAAATGCAGGCCATGGACTAGCAACATCAGCTCATCTGATAATTTACTAGATGTGTAGAATCTTGGGTCCCACCTTAGGTTAACAGAATCGGAGAACTGCATCATGGTAAGACCTCCAGGCAACACACACACATTCAAGGTTGAGAAAGTTCAAGGTTGAGAAGCACGGAGTTTCTGACTTCTAGATTCATGCTCAGATTCTCTGTCATTTGAATCTTTGCTCACTTTCTAAAATAGCTCTCTACATATGGTCAATACTCAATGAAAGAACATTTGAGAAAGCTCATTGGCATCCATTTCATTCCATCTGAAGGGAGTAGATCATTTACCAATGAGTGGCTTAGAAGCATACTAAAAACAAGCAAACAAAACAATTCTAGACATGCACACACACCGCTGTGGAGCGGGACAGATGGGCATAGTTTGTCCCCTCTCACCCACCTCCTCCATCCCTTTCGCATTTTGCTCTCCTTCATTCAAGCCAGTACTAAGCTCTCATGCTGAGTTCTGCCTCATATACACAGGTATATATAACTGCATGGGTTACATGACTCCTGCAGCCTTGTCCTCAGATCCAGAATCTAAGAACGAGATGCTGTCCTGTTACACCAGGACACAGTGGGAAAACGAAAGCAATTTGGCACATCAGTGCTTCTCACCTTTAAATGGTTGGGACCACTGTGACCCAATTCATGTCTTATTTCTGACAATGGTCAAATCCCAAGCCTGGATCTCAGCCCAGTATTTGCCTTCTGTAGCCCTTCCTATCTAGGTGACTTTAAGCACAGGTAATGACAATGATTCAGAGCGCCCAACCCCCAATTTCTTCGCTTTGCTTGACCCAACTCAAAACCTTAAAGAAAAAGGGCCAGGGGCTGGCAAATATTTACAGATTAACTGGAGTTCTGCCACAACTTTGTTATGGGATCCAATGATGACAGGATTTAATGAGCAATAATTAAAGTTACCATCTGCTGAGCACCTTGGATGTGCTTCACCACAACCTGTGAAGCAAGTAGTATTCCCATTTAATGAGTGAGGAAATCTGAGGTTTTCATAAGTTGAAATAACTTGCCCAGGAAGTAGCAAGGATCTAACTCCTGCTCACACCCTTCTGAGTCCAAAGCCTTTGAACCCCTGGACCAATATGATGTCTCACTTGTAAGAAACCACTGCAAACTTATGGTATGAGTAGAGAATCTCTCCCTCTCTGGGGCTGTGTGAGGATCAAATGAGATCAAAGATGTTAAAGCACTTAGGAAAGCAAAGAACTCTTAAAACATAAGGTGTAATTTAGCACATTAAAATTATGTCTAACTAAAAGCCCTTAGTTCTCTATAAATGGCAATTCTACATGTGAAAGACATTCATCTTTATAATTAAGGCTCTCCCAGTTAATTCTATATACATTTTTGTATACAGAATTGTCCACTTTGAAAATATTTTTTGAAAGTTTGCCCTTGCTGTTGGCAAGGATGCCATGGAACAAGTGTTTTGCTGGTAGGGGCACAAGTTGGCACAACCAAACCGCCCTAAAAAGCAAGTTGACAATATGTTTTCTTAAAACTTCCTTTAAAATGAACATAATAATATCTTGTAGGGAAAAACAAATTAGGACCAAAATTTAAATATAAAAAAGAGTGAAGAGCCTAGATTCTGGGGCCTGATGGCTTGGATTTAAGTCCCGTCTCCACTTTTATTAGCAGATGATCTCAGGCAAGTCTCTGTGACTTGGTGTCTAAAATGTGGATAATAAGCCGGGCTCGGTAGCTCAGCCTGTAATCCCGTGCCTCTGGGAGGCTGAGGTGAGTGGATTGCCTGAGCCCGTGGGTTCGAGACCTGCCTGGGCAGCAAGACCTCATCTCTACAATAAATCAAAAAATCAGCTGGGCGTGGTAGCGCATGCCTGTAATTCCAGCTACTTGGAAGGCTGAGGTGGAAGGATCGCCGGAGCCCAGCAGGTCGAGGCTGCGGTGGCTGGGAGCAGCCACTGCACTCCAGTCTGGGCGACAGAGTGAGACTCAACTCAAAAAGTAAAATAAAATAAAATAAAATGTGGATAATAATAACACTTGTTTCACAGGGTTGTTACGAAGGGTAAATGAATTATCATTTGCAAAATGTTTAACTCAATGCCTGGCACAGTGTAAGCACTATATATAAGAGGTATTTGCTATTTTTATTATCTTGGTATTATTTATAATCGCAAAATGTATCTGACTATAGAAAAATAGCTAAGTACACTATGGTACACAGATAATGGGCTATTATACAGCCATTACAATGAGGCTTTATAAGAATTTTAATCAAATATAAGGAGAACAAGAAACAAGTTGTGCACATTATCCCATACCACTTAAGCTAGTTAAAAGAGTACAAATATAGATGCCTAGGAAACAACTAACTGGTAGGATTTAAATCAAAATATTGATAAGGAATAGAACTGAGTGTAGGCTGGGGCTTTCTTCCTTATACTTTTCTGTATTTTCGAAAGCCTCTAGAGCAGTGCTTCTCACACTTTAACAGGCATACGAATCACCTGGTAATATTGTTAAAATGCAGCTTCTGGGTCAGTAGTTCTGGGATTTTGCAGAGTCTGCATTTCTAACACATTCCTGAGTGATGCTGAAGCCACTGGTCCAAGGCCTACACTTAGAGCAGCATGTTTTTAGAGCCATGTATGGAACCCATCAGTTGCTGGGCCTAGGTCTGGGGACCACACGTTCACAACCAGTGCTTTAGGTTATATATATTCTTAATGTGTGTGTGTGTGTGTGTGTATATATACATATATATATATATATATATATATATATTCCCCTAAAGGAGGGAAGTGCACTAAAAAATATGTTAGTCTTCTTTGTTGCCTGCAAAATCAAATACAAACTCTTCATCCAAAAGCCTCCATCACCCAACCTCATCATTTCCCACGAATTCCCTTCAGGCCACAGAATCAAACCACTAAACTCTAAACACACCTGTGACTTCAGACATCAGGACTTCTGCTCCATTTCCTCATTTGGCCATGTTATTTCCTCCTATTTCCTCATGCCAAAATCCTACCAATCCTTCAAGGTTCTTTTCCTCCACAAAGCCTCCTGATCCACTTCCACTAAAAAAAGCCACCTCCCCTCCTCTGGGCACCACGGCACTTTCTGTTCCTCCTCCTGTATCAAGCTCTACCTGGGCTGGTGACTTTCCAGAAGATAGTGTCCCTTGCCCTGTGGACTGGAAGGTTCTCATGGGCAGGAGGAGACTCCCCAACAGACAGCTTACACTCGAGGTGGACTGAGAGAAGGCAGAAAGGAACAGACCCCACCCCCCCAGGAAAGGCCCAGAACTGTGCTGTAAATGAACACCAGGGTGTGTGCCTGCCGAGCCTGGTGACCAGCAGTGACAGGTGTGCCCCATCTCTGACGTCCGTGATTCAGGCTGCACAGCTGCACACACATATTGTCAGCACACATGGGCTTCTGGAATATAAGCCTCACATGCTGGAGAGTACACCATGTCCTGGGTGCCCAGCAGCCACACACCAAGACACACCCCGGACCCACAAAAGGAGGCACTGCACCCCTAAAATACGTACGCCTACTGCAAATAGCAAGAAGCCACGCTTGTGCCTGCGTCCCTTGCTGCCTGCCACACCACCCCTTTTAGTTTTTAAGAAATCTTGGAAGGCTGAGGCGGAAGAATCGCCCTAAGCCTAGCAGGTCGAGGCTGCGGTGGCCGTGAGCGTGCCACTGGACACCAGCCTGGGCGACAAGAGAGAATACGCAAAAAAAAAAAAAAAGAAATCTATGGTGGATGAGTCTGCAGGTGTATGCCTGCCACTGCACTCCCCTCCACATGCACACGCGCACATGCACACACATGTTACACACAGGCAAACAGGTGCACACACATGCACACATACACACAGCACCCAAAACACACCTACACATATGCACACACCACACCCAAGCACACGCACGCACGCACGCGCACACCTCCCCCATTCGTCTCTGCCAGGCTGGGCGCGCCGCATTGAATGGAAGAGCGCGGGGCCGGCTTTGTCCTGAATCCTCCCCTCCTTCGGGCGAGCCCAGCTCCTTCCGGGTCAGGGACAGTCGCCGCCACCTCTGTCGCGCCCGCAGTCCCCCATCTCGGTAGCCGCGCGTCGCGCGAAGAGCGGGTGGCCGCCGCCGGCAGGTTGCAGGCGGGAGGAGGGCCGGAGGAGGCGGGGGCAGGCCGACCATCCCGGGAAGGGGAGGGGGGAGGCGGGCG